CATTGTGTCACTTGGATGAAATCAAGATTCTTGTCAGCACTGCAATCACCTGCAGCTCAGGACCTCTTCTAAGTTCAGCGATGGATAGCAGAATTCAGTTCCCGGTGACTGAAGGACTGAGGTTCCTACTTTCATACCTGTCATTAACCGACGGCTGCTTTCAGCTGTTAGAGGGCCCCATCATTTCCTGCCACCTGGCTCCTTCCAACACTTTGGTTTGCTCCTTTAAAACCACTAGGAGAATCGATATTACTGCTTCTTTCCCTTTTGATTATCTACACATACTGCTCAGGGGCCTTAATAACATATGCAAAAGCCCCTCTGCCATAACATCTAACACAATCAGTCTCTCCAAGACCTTAAGAATTAAGTATTAATAAAAAGGTACAAACTTTCAACTATATGAGGCATTAGATATGAGGATTTAATATGAAACATGGTGACTAAAGTTGATAACACTGTATTATATAATTTAAATTTGCTAAGAGAGTAGAACTTAAAAGCCCTCACCAAAGAAAAGTTTAAAAAAATAATTATGTGAGGTGATGGATGTGTTACTTAACAAGATGGAGGAAAGGTAATCCTTTTGAAATGTATACATATATCAAATCACCACAGTGTACATATTAAATATCATGGGCCAATTGTGCCTCAATAAAGTTGAAATAAAAAGAAAAACACATACCCATTACTCTTTATTGTAGTTTTTTTTTCCTCCTAAAAGGCATAATTCATACAAAATTTGCCCTCATTTGCAAAGGATATTTGTTGTTCAAGTTTAGGCTTCCAAATGAAGAGACCTGTTAAATAAGTAGTACATACACTATATAGTTAGGGGCTAAAAACATAATTTCACTGTTGTTGAAAACAAAGGGACGAGGAACAATAAATTGGTACTTAGAAAATGCAAAGCAAATGACAAAAAAATGGTTGTTAAATATAGGGTTGTATTCAACTAGCAAGTGACCATATACTGACCTTTTTAAAGTCAGCTGGCAGTATTCTATTAAAATTAATAAAAGAGCAAATGTTACAGACTGCTTATAGAAATCAGTAAAGAAAGACTTTCAACCATGATTGGCCATGTGACAAGTATTAGTGAACTGCCCGCTGCTTGACAAGTTGTCATGTGCAGGAGCAAGTCATCCTGTTCATGAAATTGTATACATGCTCTGGAACTCAAAATATCTAACTGTCAAATCCTCTGAGTAAAAGTAGGATGTGGACGGTTTTTAATGTATCATAGGTCCTTTGAAATCTTGACTTAAGGAAAAAAACAAAAGAGCTATCATGCTTCTTAAAAAAGTAGAATTAGGAAGTTTTATCTCTCTTCTTTAAGACTCTCTAAATTGACAAGAATGCTGGCAACTGTGTTTTTTTTTTTTCATATATACATTATAATTGATTTCAGAGAGGAAGGGAGAAGGAGAGAGAGATAGAAGCATTAATGATGAGAGAGAAATCATTGATCGGCTGCCTCCTGCATGTCCCACACTGGAAATCAAGCCCATAACCGGGACATGTGTCCTTGACAGGAATCAAACCTGAGATCCTTCAGTCCACAGGCCGACGCTCTACCCATTGAGCCAAACCGGCTTGGACTGAAAGCAACTGTTTAGATTATATCAGTGAAAAAGCTGACTAAGACAGAATTTTGTGACTATTTTTAGATTGTTCTTTCTATGTAAAAGTCTTTCTCATAGATGGTGTAGTTTCCAGTTTGCCGATCAGTTTCAGCCTATTAATTTAAGGCATTAATGAAGAGGAGGGAAAAAGTTGTGTTTCTGATAGATTTACCAATTGAATGTTCTTCCCATTCTGTTAAAGGTAAGCATTATTTCAGAATAGTCATATTTCTAGTATATAGCTTATATTTAAGAACATATTATTCTAAGAGAACTAAGCTAGATACAGAAAGACAAATACTGTACAATTTCATTACAATCTAAAAAAAAGAAGTAAATATCCCTGAAAAACATAGATGCTAAAATCTTCAACAAAATATTAGCAAATCATACCCAGCAATATATTAAAAAGATTATACACCATGACCACATGCGATTTATCCCAGGGATACAAGGTTGGTACAATATTCTCAAATCAATAAATGTGATACATCACATAAACAAACTGTAAAACATAATTTACATGATCATATCAATAGATGCCAAAAAAGCATTAGACAAAATCCAACACTCATTTTTGATAAAAACTCTCAGCAAAGTGAGAATAAAAGGAGCATATCTCATCATGAAAAAGACCATATATGACAAACCTACAGTGAACATCATATTCAGTGGGCAAAAACTAAAACCATTTTCCCTAAGAACAGGAACAAGACAAGGATATCCACTTTCACCACTCTTATTCAACACTAGAAGCCCAATGCATGAAATTTGTGCACAGGTAGGGTCCCTAGGCATGGCCAACCATCAGGGCCAATCAGGTTCCCCATCTCTCCGCCTCCCTGCCTCCTCCTTCCCTCGCTCCCTCAGTGTCCTGCCACCGCTGGTCACCTGCCATGTTCTGTGCTGCCCCCTGGTGGTCAGTGCACATCATAGCAAGTGATCGAACTCCTGGTTTCTCAGTCGAACTCCTGAAGGAAAAATTTGCATATTAGCTTTTTATTATATAGGATACTACTGGAAGTCCTAGGCACAGTGATCAAAGAAGAAGAAATAAAAGGCACCCAAATTAGAAAGGAGGAAGTAATGCTGTAATTATTTGCAAAAGACATGATATTGTACATAGAAAACCCTAAAGACTCTACCTGGAAAGTAAAGTAAGGTCTTACAAAGGATAAGCATTCAGTAAGAAAGGAAATAGACAAAAGACAGGGCACCTTAACAAGGGATTGAATGAAAATGCCCAGAACTGAAGAAAATACTAGATTCAGTAAAAAATATACTTAACCAATAAAATCTCAAGGAGGGCCCTAACCAGTTTGGCTCGGTGGATAGAGCATCAGCCTGTGGACTGAAGAGTCCTGGGATCGATTCTGGTCAAGGACATGTACCTTGGTTTCAGGCACATCCCCAGTAGGGGGTGTGCAAGAGGCAGCTGATTTATGTTTCTCTATCATCGATGTTTCCAACTCTATCCCTCTCCTTTCCTCTCTGTAAAAAAAACTCAATAAAAAAAAAAAAAAATATATATATATATATATATATATATATGTAAAAAAAAACCTCAAGTAGGATAAGTAAAATAAGCCTATGTCAATGTCACTATTTAGAACACAAAATAAATCCTATATAATAAAGAGCTAATATGCTAATTAGACCAAATAGCAGAACAACTGTCCGGATGACATTCTGGACGAAGCCAGGACTGTGAGGGCTGAGCCCCTTGCAGAATTTCATGCATTGTGCCTCTAGTAGATTAAAAAGGCAATCAAAAATAAGAAGAAACTATCTTCAGATGAAAGAAAACTGAATTTCTCAATAGCTGTCTCCTCAACAATAAAAATCTGGAAAAAACTGAAAATTTGCATGCATGTCCCAACATGGAAGTAAAATATCAAAAGTGAATTTTTACTTGATTTTAGTACTTCATTATTTAATATTACCTGAGTGAATACAGTATATACCAAGAGGCTGTTTAGTTTACAAAGTATTCCCTTCTCTAATTACAACTCCAAGTGGCTATTTTTTTGCTCTATAAATCTGTCTCTATCTTTTATAGCTAATGTACCAGAGAATTTGATTTTCCCTAACATGAATACTCAATTTCTTTCTTTCATATATTAAATTTGCAAAGAGATAAATGGAATTTGAAGATGAGTTCTTGATGATAGACCCCTACTGAGAAGACTCTTGGCTTATTTTGTTTTTAAACAAATACATCTAATATAGCAACTTATTGAATCTTTCTGAGCAATAGAGAATAATAAGATATATTAAATCTGTAGATTTTATATCTATTATAAAATAGATATAACTAACCAGTAATGTAATATCATATAAGCAATAAGTGGTATATATTTCATTATATATAAATGCCTCCAAAAATTAAGGTACATAAGAAAAGCCCTAGTTCTCAATTCTCACTTTCTTATTGGACTGTGTATATGTGTGATGGAGGAGTGGGTAGCTGTTATAAGATGAAAAGGACCTGTGAAATTGTCCCTCCCAATGTGATGGAATTCTATTTAGCAATAAGCATGTTCCCCCTTTATTCAAGCAGCTCATTTAAAAATGCGAGAAAGCAAGGAAAAGCGGCACTCTGTGTATAGACTGTGTACAGTCTATCAACAAATGCAAACACAGAGATTACAAAGACTTCTTTGAAGATATAATATTGCAAATCATCCTTGAGGGTTGCATTTGCAAACTCATGAGCAATATTGGAGTTAATACAACAGTTCACGTTGGCAGGATGCATGAGGTAGAAGGTCTGAGGTATGAGGGTACTGGGGATTCTGGTTGGAGAAGTGTTGGAATGATTAATTCTTCAGGCTGGGAAGAACAGGCTGTGAAATTAGATGAGAATTTATATATTAAAGAAGGAATACTTCTCAATAGTGATAGTCACTGATATAATTATCAAGTATGGATTGTCTTCAAAAACCACATATCCCTGTTCCTGAAATATTCCCCAAACATTCTTAATATATATTCATTAAAAACTATAAGAAAAACATTACTTACTTGTTTTTAAATATTATTAATTGATTCTAGAGAGAGGACTGGAGAAAGAGAGAGAAACACTGATGTGAAAGAGAAACATTGATCAGTTGCCTCCAGCATGCTCCTTGAACCTGCAACTTGGATATGTGCCCTGGCTGGGAATCAAACCCATCACCTTCAGAGTATGGGACAATGGTCCAACCACTGAACCATACTGGCCAGGGCAGGAAAGCAGTTTTTTTGTTTGTTTGTTTGTTTGTTTTTAGGAAAGCAGTTTTTATTTATTTTTTTTTATTTTTATTTTTTTTCAGCAGATACTTTGGATTGTTTAATTAAAGAAATTGCAGTTACCAATGCCTCAATTGCACTCCCCTAATCACCAGCGCTGGCATCAGACACGGCTCTTGAAATAGCACTGCTTGAGATTGCCCTATTTCTAGTCATGATTTCTTCAAACTCAGCTTCACTCAGTGGAGTTCTTGCTGTATCCATTTCCCTTCCAGGAGGCCCATAGTCACCCCTATCATATGGCAGAACCTGACCAGGTGGAGGTGGACCTGGTGGGCCTGGAGGACCGAAGGGTGGACGTGGTGGAGTCTGTCCAGCTGGAAAAGGTGGGGGTAGCCCTCCTGGCCAAGGAAATCTGTCCCCACTGGGAACAGCCCCTGGAAAATGGCCCCGTCCTCTACCACCTTGTGGAAATGCTGCACGTGAACTGCCTCCTGGAGGACCAGCTTTACCCTCCCCAGACATTTGTCCTGATTGTGTAGTTTTCCTGGTCCGCATGCCAAATTGACTCAGGAGCTGTTTATTGCTTGGAGTTACAACAGGATTCTGACCATGAAGTTCTCTTTTAGGCAACAGATCCATTAACGTTTCTGAGGATGCTTCAGATCCAACACCAACAAGGGCAAACCCCTTTGATTGGCCATTTGCTCGGTTTTCCAAAAACTTTATCTCCAAAATATCATTTACTCCCAAAGAATGCACTGCTTCAGTTAAGTCTTCGTCTGTTGTCCACCGTGTTAGATTTCCAATATATAATGCAATTCTCTTTCCCATATATGTATAGACAACATTTGGTGCTGCTCCTTTACCCACATCATCACCCACAGCTGGTGGGAGAGTAGCCATGTAATCCTGGTCTTCTGGGGCATCTCCATTATTTGCAGATGGAGAGATGACATCACCATACAAATCTATGTGATCATGCCCACCATATTCAGCTTCCTGGTTGAACTCTTCGCCTACATCCACGTAAATGTCTATGTGGTCCACACCGTCTGCCATCTTCCCTCGGCCTCGGCCACCGCCGCCACGGCCGCCTCCTGCAGGTCTAGAGGTTCCCAAGGGTGTGGATGGAGTTGGTGAAGAAGGAAGGACACTGCAACAGCGTTCAATTGATCAGCAGCCTAGCCAGGTTCTCTAGCTAGGATCTCCAGCCAAGTTCTGTGGCCATGTTCTCTCGCTAGGTTCTCCAGCCAGATTCTGTTCTTTTTTTTATTTTTTTATTTTTTTAATTAAATCTTTATTGTTCATATTATTACATTTGTTCCTCTTTTTTTTCCCCCCATAACTCCCCTCCTCCCAGCTCCCACCCCACCCTCCGCCCTCACTCCCCACCCACTGTCCTCATCCATAGGTGCACGATTTTTGTCCAGTCTCTTCCCCCATCTCCCACACCCCGTTCCCCCCCAAGAATAGTCAGTCCATTCCCTTTCTATGTCCCTGATTCTATTATGATCACCAGATTATTTATTCACTTGATTCTTAGATTCACTTGTTGATAGATGCATATTTGTTGTTCATAATTTGTATCTTTACCTTTTTTTTTCTTCTTCCTCTTCTAAGGATACCTTTCAGCATTTCATATAATACTGGTTTGGTGGTGATGAACTCCTTTAGCTTTTCCTTATCTGTGAAGCTCTTTATCTGACCTTCAATTCTGAATGATAGCTTTGCTGGATAAAGTAATCTTGGTTGTAGGTTCTTGGTATTCATCACTTTGAATATTTCTTGCCATTCCCTTCTGGCCTGCAAAGTTTCTGTTGAGAAATCAGCTGACAGTCGTATGGGTATTCCCTTGTAGGTAACTGGGTTTCTTTCTCTTGCTGCTTTTAAGATTCTCTCTTTGTCTTTTGCTCTTGGCATTTTAATTATGATGTGTCTTGGTGTGGTCCTCTTTGGATTCCTTTTGTTTGGGGTTCTCTGCGCTTCCTGGACCTGTAGGTCTATTTCTTTCACCAGGTGGGGGAAGTTTTCTGTCATTATTTCTTTAAATAGGTTTTCAATATCTTGCTCTCTCTCATCCTCTGGCACCCCTATATTTCTGATGTTGGTGCGCTTGAAGCTGTCCCAGAGGCTCCTTACACTATCTTCATATTTTCGGATTCTTTTTTCATTTTGGTTTTCCGGTTGGGTGTTTTTTGCTTCTTCGCATTTCGAATCTTTGACTTGATTCTTGCGCTCCTCTGGTCTGCTGTTGGGTGTCTGTATAATATTCTTTATTTCAGTCAGTGTATGCTTAATTTCTAGTTGGTTCTTTATCACAACATCGAGGGTCTCATTAGATTTCTTGAGGATCTCACTACATTTATCGGCGGTCTCACCAGTCTTTTCGAGGGCCTTACTAAGTTTATCGGCAGCTTCTAGACAGTTCTTAAGAGACCTTAAAAGTGTGGTTCTGAACTCAATATCCTCCATTGACAGTTTTGTCCTGTTTCTTTGTCTCCGCATTTTTTATGCTTTCTTGGTGCACCCCCTAGTGGTCTTTGTCCGCAGTCTTGTTGCCTTTAAGCCTTGATTGATGTCGGCAATACCGGGGTGATTTGACCTCCAGGCTCCAGATTCTGTGGAAAGCAGTTTTTAAAAGCAGGATACTCCACACAGAGTTTGGAGAGAGAGAGAGAGAGAGAGAGAGAGAGAGAGAGAGAGAGAGAGAGAGAGAGCATTTTAAATAAGTATAGTATGGATATTGTTCAAGTAGGCCAAAGTATATTTAAAAATACAAGGTGTCCCCAAAAATGTATATATACTTTAACAGCTGATAGCTCAATTGATGTTTCTTTCTTTTCAGATTTAACCCATCTGAGTTGCTGATTATTCAAAGTGTGCATACATTGTTTGGGACACCCTGTATATACTATAAAAATTATTAGATTTAGGTATTTGGTTAAAACTTCATGATTACTCTCAAATATAAATATAATTTAAGCCTAATATTATTATTTATTCTAAACATTTTATTCCAAATGATTTAAATGTTTTGAGGGCTGATGAAAAAGATGACTGATCATGAACTAATAACTTTTATAAGTTGTAATTTTTTTTCAAAATAAAATATTAAGTATTATGGTTTCTGTGTGAGGTTGACCTAATTATCTTTAAAATATATTGATACAGTTTAACCAGCCATGATTAATCAACGCTTGTCAATAAGAAACTGTAATTCATATTTTGAAAACCCTTTGTAGTAAACGTATCATCACCTTTTGTAAAATAGCTGTGATAAAGTAGCATTTATCACAGCTATTTTACAAATCAATGTCATATTATTTAAAAAACATTCATTCAGAATTTTTAGGAATTCTTAAGCCTTAAAATAAGAAAGCTGAACTTTTTAATATTTAATAAAAAGAGAATTTTTCTAATCAAATTAATAATTTAAATAAGATTATCCATGGGGATTAAATGCATTACAGAAATCAATGTTATTTTTAAATTGATTTTTCTTCTTTTTGGAGAAAGAGTAAGGGAGAGAGAGAGAGAGAGAGAGAGAGAGAGAGAGAGAGATCAATTTGTTGTTCTACTTATTTATGCATTAATTGGTTGATTCTTGTATGTTCCCTGACTGGGGATCAAACTATCAGTGGCTGCCAGTCACTTCCCTCTGCGGCGGCGGGGCTATCAGGGGTTGGTCGACTCCCTCCACAGAGGAAGGTGACTGGCAGTGGCAGCAGGAGTGGGGCTGGTGAGGAGGCGGCACCAGGCCAGCCAATGTAGGAGCCAGTAGGGCCCCCTGATCACCCCGACAGTTGCCCTACAGATTGGCTGCAGGAGGAAACCTGATGGGGTAATCAGGGGTCAGTGCCAGCCCACTTGCTAGCTGGCCCTATCCCCTGCCACCACCACCGGTTGCCTTCCTCTGCAGGGTGACCAGCAGGGCAATTGGAGGGAGGGCCCCCACTGGCACCCTCCTTGGCTGGCCTGGGGCCTGCGGGCTGGGGGTGGCTCCTGCACTGAGCATCTGCCCCCTGGTGGTCAGTGCACATCATAGTGACTAGTCGTTCTGCTGTTCAATTTGCATATTAGGCTTTTATTATATAGGACTAGTGGCCCAGTGCACGGAATTCGTGCTGTTGGGGGGGTCCCTCAGCCCAGCCTGCACCCTCTCCAATCTGGGACCTCTCGGGGGATGTCTGACTGCCGGTTGAGGCCCGATCCTACCGGGATCGGGCCTTAACTGGCAGCTGGATATCCCTTTCACAATCCAGGACCACTGTCTCCTAACTGCTAACCTGCTTGCCTACCTGATTACCCCTAACCACTCTTCCTGCAAGCCTGATCACCCCCAACTGCCCCCCCTTACAGCCTGATCACCCCCAACTGCCCCCCCTTACAGCCTGCTCACCTCCAACTTCTCCCGCCCACCAGCCTGATCGCCCGTAACTGCTTCTGCCTCAACCCTGCCACCATGGCTTTGTCCGGAAGGTCTCCCAGAAGGTCTCCTGGTCTAATTAGCATATTACCCTTTTATTAATGTAGATATCTTCTTGTGGTGGCCTCTCGGGGTGGTCTTTGCAGCTCCGCCCAACTCAGTGAGATTGGGTCTTATAAGATTACTGTTTATCTAGATACCGAACTAGGCTTTAAGCCCCCAAAGTTGTCCCCCAATTTTCCTTCTCAGAATAATCTTTTGTGCTTTGATGAAACCAGTCCAAGGACCTCAGCAGCTCCCGCTCCTGAGCCTCAGCTCAGGAAAGGGAAGCCTGTCTGCCCGCACCTCCCATGCCTGGGCAGCTGGAGATCCCCATGACAATTCCGACCTCCAGGAAGCAGCTGCACTTGGCTGTCACTCTGCTGTATCCTCAGCATGGTCATTGTAAGTGAGAATAGTGATGTTTTTTTGGCTTTCTCTGCTGTTTTATATTATTTATCAAATTAAACAGTTTTCAGGAAGTTAAGAAAAATTTTACTTACTGTGCACTGACCAGGACAAACCAAGAACACACGGGGGGAATGTAACCCACCCAACCATTCTTTTAGCATGTTTTTGTAAATGTTGACTCTAATATGTCGCTTGTAGGTAAATAGCAGGTTTGAGTAAAAAAAATCTAGGAACTGTCTTTAAAAGGAGCAGACTCAGACCTTCAGGCATTCCAGCTCCGGGAGGTTTGCTGACCTTTAGCTGTATTTTCAGGATGAAGAACACCAGACCATCACTTGGCCAGTTTCAAGGTACTTATTATCAGAATGCACGGCGCTGGTCTGCATGTGGAGAACTTTTCAAACCACTCCCCTTCATCTCTGTGTTCTGTTTTCCCTCTCCTTCTTTACAAAAACACGGTGCCTGTACTGCGATGTTAAGATGGGCTTTGGGCCGAGAGTCACCCATCTTCTCAGGTGGCTGGCACTTGAGTAAACCATCTTTGCTTACAGCAGCACCTGCCTCTGGAGTATTGGCTTTCGAAGCTGCAGGCAGCGGAACCCGCCTTTGGTTTCAGTAAGGTGCTAATCATCTAGAATCTTACTGCTCTTGAAAGAAGTGATGGGAAACATTTCAAAACTCAGTTATTACTTTGCATTGCTACTGTATTTAGCTAACAATATAGACATAAATTATTTCCTAATTGCTCAAATCCAATTATTTTGCTTCTTGGAACTGGAGCCAGCTCAGAGTTTGGCAGTTTGGTAGCTTCTGTGTGTTTCCTGATCTGGGAAACTAGGAAAATGTTGCTTTTGCAAGGCTCCCTCTTTCTAAATGTGGGTGCAATTTTAGAATATATGGCTACAGTGAATGTCTGAACAAAGGTTGGATTTCAAAGTGAATAATGGATCAAAAGCAGGTTTGAAACCAAATAACAGATTAAAGACAGGGGTTGTTTTCAAAAAAGTGATATGAAAAGCTACAGAGTATGCTGTCAGATTTCATCTAAGGTTTCAGAGGGACAATCATTATTTTTTTTCCTCCAGACCTGTGATTAGCAGATTCAATTCCATTTTTTTTCCCCAGTAACTGCAAGGATAATGTGTGTACCTGCAATTGAAAACATCCAAAGTGCACCTTAAATAC